GTATAAACTTGTACTACAAATAAACCCACACAGCTGCTGGTAAAGATGAAAATTTGAGTAAAAACTTAAATAATGTGAAAATTTGTTGTGGTAAATTTTATATTAAATTTTTAAAGTTTTATTAAATTTCTAGAAAAAGTTTTAAAATGGAAATAATTAAAAAGATTATGGATGCTTGTAATTGAAGTTTTTATTTAAATAAATATATTGAACTATAACAGAACTAGAAGTCAATTAAAATTGCACTAGAACTGAACTAGAACTGAACTAGAACTGAACTAGAACTGAACTAGAACTGAACTAGAACTGAACTAGAACTGAACTAGAACTGAACTAGAACTGAACTAGACTGAACTAGAACTGAACTAGAACTGAACTAGAACTGAACTAGAACTGAACTAGAACTGAACTAAAACTGAATTAGAACTGAACTAGAACTGAACTAGAACTGAACTAGAACTGAACTAGAACTGAACTAAAACTGAACTAGAACTGAACTAGAACTGAACTAGAACTGAACTAGAACTGAACTAGAACTGAACTAGAACTAAACTAGAACTGAACTAGAACCAGAACTGAACTAGAACTAAACTAGAACTGAACTAGAACTGAACTAGAACTGAACTAGAACTGAACTAGAACTGAACTAGAACTGAACTAGAACTGAACTAGAACTGAACTAGAACTGAACTAGAACTGAACTAGAACTGAACTAGAACTGAACTAGAACTGAACTAGAACTGAACTAGAACTGAACAAGAACTGAACTAGAACTGAACTAGAACTGAACTAGAACTAACTAGAACTGAACTAGAACTGAACTAGAACTGAACTAGAACTGAACTAGAACTGAACTAGAACTGAACTAGAACTGAACTAGAACTGAACTAGTACTGAACTAGAACTGAACAAGAACTGAACTAGAACTGAACTAGAACTGAACTAGAACTAAACTAGAACTGAACTAGAACCAGAACTGAACTAGAACTAAACTAGAACTGAACTAGAACTAAATTAGAACTGAATTTGAACATAAATATTAATTTATTTTTACTCAATATACTTAAAGATACATGTTTCTCGATTCATGAGTCCTTCTTCTAGAATTTCTTTACAAAAATATTTCCTATTTAAAATCCCTGCCTTCAGACTATCCTTAAACAAATAATGAATAAACCTCAACAAAATACAAAATTTACATTGACAATGTTGTTAATTTTACGATCAGGAATACCAACATATTTGTAGCAAAATACAAGTACATACAACTTTATATAGTAAAAGTACTTTGCTGTTTACTAAACAAGACTTTTAGTATTTATAAGTATAATTTGAATAATAACATAAATTTTGATATAAACTCAGACACACAACCACACCGCCTACTTAAGCAAACAAACTGGCAAAAATGAAAACAGAAAATTAGAAGAAAGTAGACGAAAACAATCTACAAAAACATTAAATAAATTGACTTTAAGTTTTAATGAAGAAAATCTATGAGAAAAAGGGAAAAATCTACTTGTGCAGTTAAAATATCTGGTAAATATTTGGTTGCTAGCCTGTGTTGTTTGTTTAGTTGTTGAAAATTAGTAAACGCATACATACACACAAGCATATAAACATACAAAGCGTGTAATGCAAACACAGGCTCTCATTGAGCCTGAGAGTGTTTGTGTGTGGTTCCGTTTTCTCTGTAACTTAGAAGGATTTCAATGTATTACAAAACAACCGCACTCAATTGATTTGATTTCCTATTTTAAACAGTATCTGTAAGGATGTATATGTGTGTTTGTTTTAGTATAGCATACTTCATGGCTACAGTGAGTAAAACTATAGATTTGTTGCATATTCTTAAGGCAGAGGGAACTATATTTTGTTGTAGTAGTTTGGTGGTTTAAATTAGTCAGTGTAGTTCTATTAGTTTTGGTTAAATACATCCACTTACTTTTAGAATACTCGGCTTAACTGTCGTCTATGGTTTTTGGTTTTTATATAAATTTCTGTAGGTTTTTATACTTTCCGTTTTATTTTAACTGGGAATGAGAAATGTCAATTTAAAACGGAAAAAGGAAATAAATATTAAATTGTAAATGATAAGTTCTAGACAGGGGAAAGTGAGGAAACTAACATTTGAAATACTTAGAAATAATATCTTAAATGAAAATTAATTTACTTGTAAAAAATTGATGTCTTTGTAAGCTTCATAATAATTACAATAGCTCTAGTTCAGTTCTAGTTCAGTTCTAGTTCAGTTCTAGTTCAGTTCTAGTTCAGTTCTAGTTCAGTTCTAGTTCAGTTCTAATTCTAGTTCAGTTCTAGTTCAGTTCTAGTTCAGTTCTAGTTCAGTTCTAGTTCAGTTCTAGTTCAGTTCAGTTCTAGTTCAGTTCTAGTTCAGTTCTAGTTCAGTTCTAGTTCAGTTCTAGTTCAGTTCTAGTTCAGTTCTAGTTCAGTTCTAGTTCAGTTCTAGTTCAGTTCTAGTTCAGTTCTAGTTCAGTTCTTCAGTTCTAGTTCAGTTCTAGTTCAGTTCTAGTTCAGTTCTAGTTCAGTTCTAGTTCAGTTCTAGTTCAGTTCTAGTTCAGTTCTAGTTCAGTTCTAGTTCAGTTCTAGTTCAGTTCAGTTCTAGTTCAGTTCTAGTTCAGTTCTAGTTCAGTTCTAGTTCAGTTCTAGTTCAGTTCTAGTTCAGTTCTAGTTCAGTTCTAGTTCAGTTCTAGTTCAGTTCTAGTTCAGTTCTAGTTCAGTTCTAGTTCAGTTCTAGTTCAGTTCTAGTTCAGTTCTAGTTCAGTTCTAGTTCAGTTCTAGTTCAGTTCTAGTTCAGTTCTAGTTCAGTTCTAGTTCAGTTCTAGTTCAGTTCTAGTTCAGTTCTAGTTCAGTTCTAGTTCAGTTCTAATTCAGTTCTAGTTCAGTTCTAGTTCAGTTCTAGTTCAGTTCTAGTTCAGTTCTAGTTTAGTTCTAGTTTAGTTCTAGTTCAGTTCTAGTTCTAGTTCTAGTTAGTTCTAGTTCAGTTCTAGTTCAGTTCTAGTTAAGTTCTAGTTCAGTTCTAGTTCAGTTCTAGTTCCGTTCTAGTTCAGTTCTAGTTCAGTTCTAGTTCAGTTCTAGTTCAGTTCTAGTTCAGTTCTAGTTCAGGTCTAGTTCAGTTCTAGTTCAGTTCTAGTTCAGTTCTAGTTCAGTTCTAGTTCAGTTCTAGTTCAGTTCTAGTTCAGTTCTAGTTCAGTTCTAGTTCAGTGTTCTAGTTCAGGTCTAGTTCAGTTCTAGTTCAGTTCTAGTTCAGGTCTAGTTCAGTCTAGTTCAGTTCTAGTTCAGTTCTAGTTCAGTTCTAGTTTCAGTTCTAGTTTCAGTTCTAGTTCAGTTCTAGTTCAGTTCTAGTCAGTTCAGTTCTAGTTCAGTTCTAGTTTCTAGTTCAGTTCTAGTTCAGTTCTAGTTCAGTTCTAGTTCAGTTCTAGTTCAGTTCTAGTTCAGTTCTAGTTCAGTTCTAGTTCAGTTCTAGTTCAGTTCTAGTTCATTCTAGTGTCAGTTCTAGTTCAGTTCTAGTTCAGTTCTAGTTCAGTTCTAGTTCAGTTCTAGTTCAGTTCTAGTTCAGTTCTAGTTCAGTTCTAGTTCAGTTCTAGTCAGTTCTAGTTCAGTTCTAGTTCAATCTAGTTCAGTTCTAGTTCAGTTCTAGTTCAGTTCTAGTTCAGTTCTAGTTCAGTTCTAGTTCAGTTCTAGTTCAGTTCTAGTTCAGTTCTAGTTCAGTTCTAGTTCAGTTCTAGTCAGTTCTAGTTCAGTTCTAGTCAGTTCTAGTTCAGTTCTAGTTCAGTTCTAGTTTCAGTTCTAGTTCAGTTCTAGTTCAGTTCTAGTTCAGTTCTAGTTCAGTTCTAGTTCAGTTCTAGTTCAGTTCTAGTTCAGTTCTAGTTCAGTTCTAGTTCAGTTCTAGTTCAGTTCTATGTTCAGTTCTAGTTCAGTTCTAGTTCAGTTCTAGTTCAGTTCTAGTTCAGTTCTAGTTCAGTTCTAGTTCAGTTCTAGTTCAGTTCTAGTTCAGTTCTAGTTCAGTTCTAGTTCAGTTCTAGTTCAGTTCTAGTTCAGTTTCTACTTCAGTACTAGTTCAGTTCTAGTTCAGTTCTAGTTTCTTCTCACTTTTTTTCACTTCTAGTTCACTTTTAGCTCAGTTTCAGTTCATGTCTAGTTCATTTCTAATTTATTTCAAGGTCGTTTCTAGAAAAAGTATATAAATTTCTTCACCGACTTTTTTGTAAAAATATTATTGATGCAATGTATTCTTTAATAATTAAATTTATAAGTAACACTTTTACTTATTTCTTTGCTCTTTGTCTACGATTTCCATTGAAGTTTCTTTTTAAAAAATTTTGTGTTGTTATGTAGGTAGTTGTTGTACCGTTATGCAAAAAACAAGTCTTGCATTCTACCGCAAGGATTGAATTGAACGTATAAATGAATGAATGGCTTTTGCTTCATTTTAATTAGCAATTAATTGAAGTTATTTTCAAAAAAAGAAAAGAGAAAAACTTTATATTGATTTCTTGTTGCTATTTTTTCTTCAGTTTTTATTTTCTATACTTTCAATGTTCCCTCACTTGAGTATCTCCGGACAGGATACAAAGTGAAACTGTGTTGTGTGCGCCTTGAGTTGCTCTTTGGCAAAGTCCCAGAGTATTATGCAGATAATTGTTTATTAACTTTTTTATCTGTGGTTCAGGCAGGAAAATGGGTAGCACAGTCCGCTGTTGTTGTGATGTTTAATACACAAATAATTATTAAAAAGTTTTTCAATTGATTTTTTTTGCCTACTTTTGCGCTGCTACTTCTTTTTATTAAGCGAAAGAAAAAATACTAAGAAACATGTAAAACTTTAACAATTATCGATGATAATGTGCCTGAGAATCATGATAAAATTGAGTTTAATGTTGATAAAATAAATAATTTTAAACGATTTTCTATAAAGTATAGAAAAACTTAATTTTGAGAATTTATTTATAATATTTTGCCTATTTATTTATCTTTTGCAGAAATGGAAAGTGCTCCCCGCAATGTACAAGTACGTCCTTTATCATCGTCTACCATGGTTATAACTTGGGAACCACCAGAGACACCCAATGGACAGTTGACCGTAAGTTATATTTTGACATATATTTTGCATATAAATTTATTTCTTTAATTGTATGTGTTTACCCATCCTTTAGCAGATATTTGTTTAAATATTCTTTGGAAAATTTTCTATTTACCCTGAATTTCAAATAGATAAATTTTTCATTCCAATGCCTGTTGAATGATGAATTAAATAAACATTTTGCTATAACTTGATAGAAAATAGTTTAAATTTAATTTTACTTATATTTATTTAAAATTTCATATTTGTTAAGATTACTAATAGAAAATAGAACAGGGTTGGTAAATATAAAAAAAGGATTGTTCAGTTCAGAAACAATTCTAGTTCAGTTAGTTCTAGTTCAGTTCTAGTTCAGTTCTGGTTCAGTTCTAGTTCAGTTCTAGTTCAGTTCTAGTTTAGTTCTAGTTCAGTTCTAGTTCAGTTCTAGTTCAGTTCTAGTTCAGTTCTAGTTCAGTTCTAGTTCAGTTCTAGTTCAGTTCTAGTTCAGTTCTAGTTCAGTTCTAGTTCAGTTCTAGTTCAGTTCTAGTTCAGTTCTAGTGCAGTTCTAGTTCAGTTCTAGTTCAGTTCTAGTTCAGTTCTAGTTCAGTTCTAGTTCAGTTCTAGTTCAGTTCTAGTTCAGTTCTAGTTCAGTTCTAGTTCAGTTCTAGTTCAGTTCTAGTTCAGTTCTAGTTCAGTTCTAGTTCAGTTCTAGTTCAGTTCTAGTTCAGTTCTAGTTCAGTTCTAGTTCAGTTCTAGTTCAGTTCTAGTTCAGTTCTAGTTCAGTTCTAGTTCAGTTCTAGTTCAGTTCTAGTTCAGTTCTAGTTCAGTTCTAGTTCAGTTCTAGTTCAGTAGTAGTCTAGTTCAGTTCTAGTTCAGTTCTAGTCAGTTCTAGTTTCAGTTCTAGTCGTTCTAGTTCAGTTCTAGTTCAGTTCTAGTTCAGTTCTAGTTCAGTTCTAGTTCAGTTCTAGTTCATTTCTAGTCAGTTGTAGTTCAGTTCTGTTCAGTTCTGTCAGTTCTAGTTCAGTTCTAGTTCAGTTCTAGTTCAGTTCTAGTTCAGTTCTAGTTCAGTTCTAGTTCAGTTCTAGTTCAGTTTTAGTTCAGTTCTAGTTCAGTTCTAGTTCAGTTTCTAGTTCAGTTCTAGTTCAGTTCTAGTTCAGTTCATAGCTTCATTTCTAGTTCAGTTCTAGTTCAGTTCTAGTTCAGTTCTAGTTCAGTTAGTCAGTTCTAGTTCAGTTCTAGTTCAGTTCTAGTTCAGTTCTAGTTCAGTGTCTAGTTACAGTTCTAGTATCAGTTCTAGTTCAGTCTAGTTCAGTTCTAGTTCAGTTCTAGTTCAGTTCTAGTCATTTCTAGTTCAGTTCTAGTTCAGTTCTAGTTCAGTTCTAGTTCAGTTTCTAGTTTCGTTCTAGGTCAGTTCTAGTTCAGTTCTAGTCAGTTCTAGTTCGTTCTAGTTCAGTTCTAGTTCAGTTCTAGTTCAGTTCTAGTTCAGTTCTAGTTCAGTTTTAGTTCAGTTCTAGTTCAGTTCTAGTTCAGTTCTAGTTCAGTTCTAGTTCAGTTCTAGTTCAGTTCTAGTTCAGTTCTAGTTCAGTTCTAGTTCAGTTCTAGTTCAGTTCTAGCTTCAGTTCTAGTCAGTTCTAGTTCAGTTCTAGTTCGTTCTAGTTCAGTTCTAGTTCAGTTCAGTTCAGTTCTAGTTCAGTTCTAGTTCAGTTCTAGTTCAGTTCTAGTTCAGTTCTAGTTCAGTTCTAGTTCAGTTCTAGTTCAGTTCTAGTTCGTTCTATTTCAGTTCTTTCAGTTCTAGTTCAGTTCTAGTTCAGTTCTAGTTCAGTTCAGTTCTAGTTCAGTTCTAGTTCAGTTCTAGTTCTAGTTCAGTTCTAGTTTCAGTTCTATCTTATTTCTTATATAAGTTTTAACTCCAGTGCCTTAGCTAGCTTACCGCAGTTTTCTATTTCTAAATTTTAATTTACGAAGTAAAACTGAACTCAATTTTCCAAATGGTTTATGGTCTTTAGAATGCAAAATGTCTACACAATATATGAATTAAAATGTAAATAGAAAATTTTGCCATAAATATATTACATACATAGATGTTGTCAGTAATAATATAAAATTAATTCGAATATAATTTATAGACAATAAATAATCAATTCATAGTTTATTCTTATAAAATTTACTTAAAGAGTTGATTAATAAAATATAAACTAAAAACAAGAATATTTATATAAAAGGAAATGTACAATACTAAGACTAATTAGAAAATAAAATAGATTTCAAAATTAAAATTCTTAAATATTATTTAAATCTGAATATGACCTCTTAAAGTAAAGCTCGCTCATTAAGCATTAATGTATACAAGCATCAGACTGTAAGCAAAGTTTGTTGAAAGTATGAAGTTTCACCTTAAATGAATTAAAGAATTCCATATTAAATTGTGATATAAATTCAAATTTTTTTAACTAATAACTTCATCCTTTTATTTCTAGCTACATATTCACTTTAAGTTTTTTTTTTTCATTTTTAAATTTGACCTTTAAAAATATTTAAAATTTTACAATATTTTCTTTTTAAATCACACTTTTTTATTTTCCTCACAATATTTTTGTAAAAAAAAATCAAAAATATTATTTACTAATTGTTGACATTTCTAAACAAAACACATATACTCACTTGTTCATTAAAAAAGGTTTATAGAAAAAATCAGTTACAAAATTTGTTAAATAAAAAATGCATATATACATTCATCCATATGTATTATGAACATTATAATTTTATTTTTTTTTTATGCATATTTTCCCTACTAATATTTTCTTTTCTATATGCTCTAATTGGTTTTTAAGGGGAAAAATTGAATGATTTTTTTTTTGTCTCTTGAACATATGCATTCATTCGTTTATACGTTTAGATGTCAAAAATAATATCAAATGTCAAATGATGTTGCGGTTGTTATTGTTTTTGTAATTCCATGTTGTAATAAGGCAAAATTTTGTAAAAATAACAACAATGACATGTTTGCATTTACCACATATTACATTTAGAAAATTTTCAGAAAATATTGTTTTTACATGTTAAAGTATAAAATTTTTAGAATCTTTTTTCGTAGAATTAATTATAAACTATTATAGAAATTTGATGAAAAATAAATTAAATTAAATTGAAATTTGAAATAGTCATATTATGACACTGTCATATTATGACACTGTGAATTTTATGACATCTTTTTGGTTAGGTTCTAACTGTGCATTATTCTGTTCTAGTTCTGTTCTAGTTCTGTTCTAGTTCTGTTCTGTTCTAGTTCTGTTCTAGTTCTGTTCTAGTTCTGTTCTAGTTCTGTTCTAGTTCTGTTCTAGTTCTGTTCTAGTTCTGTTCTAGTTCTGTTCTAGTTCTGTTCTAGTTCTGTTCTAGTTTTCTGTTCTAGTTCTGTTCTAGTTCTGTTCTAGTTCTGTCTAGTTCTGTTCTAGTTCTGTTCTAGTTCTGTTCTAGTTCTGTTCTAGTTCTGTTCTAGTTCTGTTCTAGTTCTGTTCTAGTTCTGTTCTAGTTCTGTTCTAGTTCTGTTCTAGTTTGTTCTAGTTTGTTCTAGTTCTGTTCTAGTTCTGTTCTAGTTTTCTAGTTCTGTTCTAGTTCTGTTCTAGTTCTGTTCTAGTTCTGTTCTAGTTCTGTTCTAGTTCTGTTCTAGTTTCGTTCTAGTTCTGTTCTAGTTCTGTTCTAGTTCTGTTCTAGTTCTGTTCTAGTTCTGTTCTAGTTCTGTTCTAGTTCTGTTCTAGTTCTGTTCTAGTTCTGTTCTAGTTCGTTCTAGTTCTGTTCTGTTCTAGTTCTAGTTCTGTTCTAGTTCTGTTTCTAGTTCTGGTTCTAGTTCCTGTTCTAGTTCTGTTCTAGTTCTGTTCTAGTTCTGTTCTAGTTCTGTTCTAGTTCTGTTCTATTTCTGTTCTAGTTTCTGTTCTAGTTCTGTTCTAGTTCTGTTCTAGTTCTGTTCTAGTTCTGTTCTAGTTCTGTTCTAGTTCTGTTCTAGTTCTGTTCTAGTTCTGTTCTAGTTCTGTTCTAGTTCTGTTCTAGTTCTGTTCTAGTTCTGTTCTAGTTCTGTTCTAGTTCTGTTCTAGTTCTGTTCTAGTTCTGTTCTAGTTCTGTTCTAGTTCTGTTCTAGTTCTGTTCTAGTTCTGTTCTAGTTCTGTTCTAGTTCTGTTCTAGTTCTGTTCTAGTTCTGTTCTAGTTCTGTTCTAGGTTCTGTTCTAGTTCTGTTCTAGTTCTGTTCTAGTTCTGTTCTAGTTCTGTTCTGGTTTCTGTTCTGTTCTAGTTCTGTTCTAGTTCTGTTCTAGTTCTGTTCTAGTTCTGTTCTAGTTCTGTTCTAGTTCTGTTCTAGTTCTGTTCTAGTTCTGTTCTAGTTCTGTTCTAGTTTCTGTTCTAGTTCTGTTCTAGTTCTGTTCTAGTTCTGTTCTAGTTCTGTTCTAGTTCTGTTCTAGTTCTGTTCTAGTTCTGTTCTAGTTCTGTTCTAGTTCTGTTCTAGTTCTGTTCTAGTTCTGTTCTATTTCTGTTCTAGTTCTGTTCTAGTTCTGTTGTAGTTCTGTTCTAGTTCTGTTCTAGTTCTGTTCTAGTTCTGTTCTAGTTCTGTTCTAGTTCTGTTCTAGTTCTGTTCTAGTTCTGTTCTAGTTCTGTTCTAGTTCTGTTCTAGTTCTGTTCTAGTTCTGTTCTAGTTCTGTTCTAGTTCTGTTCTAGTTCTGTTTCTAGTTCTGTTCTAATTCTGTTCTAGTTCTGTTCTAGTTCTGTTCTAATTCTGTTCTAGTTCTGTTCTAGTTCTGTTCTAATTCTGTTCTAGTTCTGTTCTAGTTCTGTTCTAGTTCTAGTTATGTTCTAGTTCTAGTTATGTTCTAGTTCTGTTCTATTTCTGTTCTATTTTTATTTTACTTCTGTTCTATTTCTGTTTTATATCTGTTCTCGTTCTGTTCTCGTTCTGTTCTAGTTCTATTCTTCATATTTCGCTAGTTGTACTTATTATACTTTAAAATTCCTTAACACTTAAACAATTTTTAATAAAT